ATTATGTAAATAATGAGAAAGAATACATTAATAATATTAAATTATCTCATAAAATAAAATAAACAACTAAAAGATATATTAAAATGAAAGTGAACTCAATCATAGAAGGGAAAGTAGAGTGTAATCCAATAATAAAAAATATTATCATAAAAAATAACACTACTGATATTGATGATGAATATCTTAACTCTATCATCATTCAAGTTAAAGGAATGAAGATAGATAAATGTGTAAATATTAATTACTACTGGAAAAGGAAAGAAGCAGATAAATTAATTAGAGAAATTAATAATAAAAGGGTATGATCAGGAGAATAGAAAATCTACAAGAAGATATGAAAATAATTTCAATGTGTATGTATTATTATCTCTAAAATAAATTTAAATGAGATAAATTTGATGAAATAAAAGAAATCATAACGAAAATAAATAGATTAGAAGATCTAATCAATGGAATGGTACAGAATAAAATTCATCATGAGATTAAAGGAACAAGATGCAGATGAAATTAAAATGAAAGCACAAGAAAGAATAAAGTACATAAAATATATGATGATAATGATTAAAGAAAGAATTAAATATAATAAGAATGAAATTGTCAGAATCAATACAAATAAAATCATGTTTGATTCTAATAAGAAAATTAAAATAAAGAAGAAACACAAAATGAAATATATCCAAATAACGATATTATTTTAGAATATTTGAAATCGTTATATGAAACACAGGTGATATTAAATAAAGAACATTTGAAAATAAATCAAATCACATCGTGGAATGAAAGATACAGGAATTATGATAATGTCATCATCACAATGGATGATTTAAATTTAAGCCTGATGAAAATAAGTAATTTGAAAGCACCAGGTATTGACACTATATATTTGTATTATTAGAAGAGAATATCATCATCAAGAGATTCCATTCTTAATATCTTCAACGAATGGTTAAACTTCAATGAAAACATCCCCCTAGATATGGTAAGTGGAAGAACTATATTAATCCACAAAGGAGGTGATAGGAACGATGTCACTAACTATCGTCTTATCAGTTGTACAAATGTAATAATGAAAGTATTTACCTCCATATTGAAAGAGAAGATTCACAATAGAATTAACATGAATAGTGAATCATTAAAAATTAGTAAAAATCAATTGGGATGTAAACTGCAATCTCTTGCTGATAAAGAAGGATTAATTAACAGTTATATGTTAAAGCAGCAAAAAGAAGAGAAATACACAAAATATGTAGAATCATATTATGACATTAAGAAAGCATATGAATCAGTAAATCATGAATGGGTAATAGAATCACTTAAATATTTTAATGTAGAGGGTGTCATCATAGACATTGTAGAAAGTATGATGAACAGATGGAAGATATTCATAGGATATAAATATAATGAATATCTAGGATGTATTAAATTGATGAATTTTACAATGTGATTCATTATCATTTCTACTCTTCATCATCAAAATGAATATAATTTCTCAAATCATAGAAGAGAAGTTCCCAAAAGCAAGCCATACATTATATATGGATGATTTGAGAATAATGACACAAAGTAGTGAAGAAATGGGAACAATCCACAATGAAATTAAACAAATAATAAGTGGAATAAGGATAGAAATGAATGAAAATAAATCAGGAATGGTATTAAAGAACATTAATAAAATACCAAATGGAATGTAAAACATCACATTAATTGAAGGAGAGGACTTGTATAAATATTTAGGTGTATGGCAGTCAGATGAAATTAATGATACCTTCAATTGTAAAATCATCAAAGAAAAGATGATGAAGAAAATGGAAGAGATAAATACTGATGAAAGTAGTAATAGAAGTTATATTACAAGAATTAATACTGAAGTAATACCCATCTTCAGATATTCAGCATCAGTAGTAAATTGGAAGGTAACTGACCTAGATAGAATGGATTTGGAGATAAGAAAATATTTAAGAAAGGCAAAATACATTGGTGCCGGCAACTCCAAAGACCGTCTATATGTCCCTATAAATGAAATGGGTGAAGGATTAATAAGCCTAAGGGACGAATATGTTATTGAATTAATCAGAACAGTAATGTACTATTGTACAAGAGTGAAATAGGAGATAATATAATAGATAGATGGTATTCAAAGAAGGGAATATGGAATAGAATTAAAAAAGCACTAAGTCATAAGATCCCAGAAACGAAAATAGAAGAAATAATAAATGAAATAAAAATAAAAAAGAAAAAGAAGTAGTATTAAAAATAAAGAAATTAATGACCGACCAATACATCAAAAAATGGAATCAAACAAGTGGATATTTTAGAAGATGGTTCGAGTCAAAATTTGTAGATAAAATACTACAATAAATGCATGGAAGTCCATCAATATAAAGAAAAATTCATTTCTCCAATTAACTAAAATACAAGATGGAGCAATATTTAGTGGGTACAGGAAAGTAAAAATATTAAAAAATGAAAGATTGAAGTACTGCCCACTTTGTAAAGACAAGATATCCACAGTAGAACACATTCTACTATCTTGCATTGGTCATAAGAAATCACAAATGGAAAAACATGACCATATTGGCATTATCATATGGGAGGGGTTAATAAGAAAATACACAGGAAATAAACAATACAAGAAATCCCCATATGAAACAGTGTCCCAATACAACGACATCACTATGATATTGAACAAACAAATAATGCCAAAAAGTGATGGACTATATCATAAAATACCAGACATATATGTACTAGATAAAAAGAATAAAACATGTCTAATATTTGATATGACTATTGTGGCAGATCATAATATTAATGGAGCCTATTGGAAGAAAAGAAATATGTATAAAGAATTGAAAGATAGGGTGATGAAAATAGAGAAATTAAAGGATGTCAAAATAATTGCAGTAGTAATTTCGATTAATGGGCTAATAAATGCCGAAAGTATTAAATTAATTAGAGAATTAAAAATCGAAATTGACATCACTAAAGAAATCAAAAACCATGTAATTAAAAACATGATGGATATCATGGAACACTGTTTCGACCACAACCAAACATATGTAGTTCCACTACATAACGAATACTCAGGGACAGGATTAGTCTCCCATGGGCCAGGAACAATAGACACAAGTTCTATTAATACTTAATTAACTGCTTTTTAATTTTATTTTAAATGGTTGTTTTCTATCTTCTGTTTAATGAATTTTATACAAATTCTTAACAATAAATAATAAAATCAGTAGAACCATTCATTTATTACATCTGTGCTAACACATTCATGTATTTAAAAGAAATAAAAGACATACAAATAGAACAGAAGTTATAATAAAAATATTCAAAAGATTAAAAAGAACTTAAAAACTAAAAAGATGAAAAGTATTGTTATTGGAATTATTGTTATTTGTATTCGTGCCGTTGAAATAAACAAGTGTATGTATGTAAGTTATAATGATGAACAACATTCAATTTCAATCAATAAAATATACCCTCACTCTAAAGAATGTTATACACAGGGACTGTTTATTGAAAATGATAATTTATATGAATCATGTGGGATGTATGGACAATCTTCCATTAATAAGTACTCATTTCCATCACTTCAATTACTCCACACAACACAGTTAAATAGTTCAGAATTTGGAGAAGGAATTGCTATGGTAAATAATACTTTAATTATGCTAACATGGAAAGAGCATAAATGTCATCTTATTGATCCCTCAACATTAGAAATTAAATCAACACTATCATACCCATTACATGGATGGGGAGTTACTAACGACTTAAATCAAACAATATATGTTTCAGATGGGTCAAATAAAATAAGAGAAATAACAATTAAAAATAATGAAATTCAAATTGAAAAAGAATGGAGAGTACAACGAGGAAATGGATTTGTAAAAGAATTAAATGAAATGGAATATATAGATAATAAGTTATATATAAATGTTTATTGGGAAGATAAAATTATTATTGTTGACGTTAAAACAAAGTATGTTATTGGTGAGATTTGGTGTAATATTAAAAGAAGTGGAAATGAAGAAGTCTTTAATGGCATTGCTCAAATAGATTCACATACTTTATTAGTTACTGGAAAATATTGGAATAAAATGTTTGAATTAAAAATTAATTAACCTTTTACTTCTTAACACTTAATTATTTAAAATTACATTAGTTATTTTAATACTTTACTAAATTTTATAATGAAAAAAACAGTGTATTATTAACCACTGTGTTTTGTTAAGAATATTTATACTATAATTTCTATTGGCAGAATAAAATATTGTATTTCAACTTATCTGGACTAGATAATTAATAATACTGAAATATTCCTTGTGCTATGGCCATCTACTAGAAAGACCATTAATAGTCTATGAAAAATATTAACACCTTTTCATTAGAATTTGTTAGAGTCTAACTAACCATCGTACTATAGATACGGTGGCTAATAGGACTCTCTTACTCTTGCTTTACATTATAAGCCATAGGTATAAAACTACAACTTTTGTCTAAAAGCATAATTAACTTATGTTTTTTCTAGTTCTTCTTTATATTTTGATTATTAGTTCTTTTCAAAATAATAATTTATAGTTAATATATTATATTAATTAGTTCTAATTTTAAAATACTATTTTATTAATTTATTATACTATTTAAATAATTAGAATATGATTAAATTAAATAAAGCATCAAGATCTTAATGATATTAGGTAATGAACATTGTAAAGTAAATCATATTGCCTTTCATAATGATTTTTCATTTCTTTTTTGTTTTCTTTTGAAATATTTAATTCATTTTAGTGAACTATATTATGAAATGATTTAAGTGTGAATATTATAATATTCATTATTTTCTAACTTCATCAATATTATTTTAGATTTTGAGTTATTTGATTGACAGTGAATAAGAATCAATTTAATTTAGCAATTTAACACAATAAAGAGAAACAAAACATTAATTAAATTAAAAATGGGTTTAATCAATATTTAATAAGTTCAACAGATGTTATTTCATTTGAATTATTGATATAAATGACAGTTGATTGAAATGAAATAGTTGTAGAATATTTTAATTGAGGGGATAGTAATTGGTGATGAGAATGGTGTTTAATTTCAATTTTACTTACAAAAGATGAATTTGGATGATGGTCTTGGAATATTTCTTCATTTATTTGTTTAAATGAATCAAATAAGAGAGAAGGTATTTTAATTCTTTTTAGCCTCTTGCAATGATAAAAACAACGATATTCAAGTTTTTTAATTGTAGATGGAATAACAATTTCTTCTGAAGAACATCCATCAAATGCTTTAGTTCCAATAATGTCTACACAAGAAGGAATAGTATTTCCATATTTCCTTCTATCATGTCTTGTGTAAATGATATGTTCTGATTTAACTCGATATTCTTGTAAATCAAGATATTGTTGATAAGAAAGTGTTCCATGGAAATGATTTCCTTTTTTAAATGTTATTACTTTTAATGGACAATTTAAAAATGCATCTTGATGACATTTAGTTTTAGATGATCCAAATACAATTCTTGACAATGAATAACATTTTAAAAAAGCTAAACTTTGGATATGTTTTAAACTTGATGGAAATTCAATGCTCTTTAATGAAGTACAATTTGAAAAACATAATCTTTTTATTAAGACTAATGATGTTGGTAGTACAAGATTTATTAAAGAATAACAATTAGCAAAACAACTTATTTCAAGACATTTTATATCATCAATTTGTACAGAAGTTAGATTTGAGCATAAAGAGAAACATTTGTATGGTAAAATATTTGATCTAGGGAAAAGTTGTGAAATATGTATTGATAATAATGAAGTGTTTGAAATGAACGATTTAGGACCAAAATGAATAGTTGATGATTTCAATGATGAGACATTAATTTTACTTCCACAATAAGAATAAATGGATTTTAGATTTGAGAATAATTCATTAATTGTTAACTTATTGCAATGTCTAAAACATGATTGTTCATACTTTTTTACAAAATTTAATCCTTTTATCTCTTTAAGACTAGAACATGAAATAAAACTATATTCTGGAATTGTAGTTAAATATGATGAATATTTCACTGTCATAAGTTCTTTACATTTACTAAAACAACTCATTCCAAGACTTCTGATATTTGAAAGATCAATCTCTTTCAAGTGTTGACATAATTCAAATGCATGTGATCCAATCTTTCTAACTGAATTTAAATTAATCTTTTCTAAATTACTGAGAAAGTAAAATGCAGATGGTTGTATGATTTCAACATCTGAAGATAAAACAATTTCTTTAAGTGATTTAATTCTATGTGCTATACTTAAAAAAGGAATACTCATTAAACCATTCACAATTAATGTTTGTTTTGATAAATTTAAAAGACTTTTTGTTCCTGAATAACCAAAATTATCAATAATTGTATTTTCTTCTTTATGTTTTAAAGGATTAAATAAAGTAAAGTCATTATTAACTATGTTACAATTACAACTAATTCCATTCAACTGAAGAATGGTATAGAAATCATATGATACATCAACATTAATTTCTTTTGATCCTTCTGAAATAGTTATCTTTTTTAAATTAGTACAACCATTAAAAGCATTTAAATCCATTTTTTCTAAGTATTTTGAAAGAGTTAAAGCAGTAAGATTATCATCATAAAATTGTGTACCTTCAATTTTAGTTATATAAGAAAGATCAAGTTGTTTTAATCCACATCTATCAAAACAAAATGGTGGTATTTCTCTAATATGATGTCCAAGAATAACACTTGTAATATTATTAAATTTAAAACATTCTCTTGAAAGTCCATAAAAATTAGACACATCAATAACATTAATTGATTTAATATGTTCAGAAAAACTATAATAAATAATATCTCCTTGTTCTTTATGAAAATCTTTCATTTGAGTATAATTCAAATAAAGTCTTTTAAATATCGGTCGTAAAGAATAATAAATTTTATAATATTTAACTGTTTTTAATCCACATCCATACCAAACAATGTAATTATTCATTCCATTAATTAAATCATCATATCTACTATAAATGAATTGACTTTCAATATTAATAAATAACTTTTTACTTTGTTTATTTATTGAAATAGGATTATAATGAAACATTGCTGGTATTTCTTTGTATTTTGAATTTATAATAATAATGTTCAAATAATCTTCTACTGTTGTTAAATATTTACAAACAATCATTAAGTGATATCGATCAAGTGTATGAATGACCATTTATCCTTTTTTCAGATATACTTCAAAATCTTAATTATTTCGTTATATATAACGTAAATAAATAAAAAATTCTATTTTAAGAAGTTTCAAAAAAAAAATGAATAAAAAACAAAAAATCAAAAAAAAAAGAACTTGAAAAAAAGTATATTATCAAATGAGATCAATTATTCTCTTTTTATTATTATTAAGTGTTATTGCAGATGATGAATTTTATCACTTCAGACATGGATGCATTATGCATAGAAGAATGGTTAAAGCTCAAAAAATGACAGAAATGTTAGAAAAGAAACTTAAACAAACTAGAAAGATTGAACGAAGAATTCTTCATGAACTCGAATTAAATTATGAAGACACAGAGATGGCAACTACTCGAAAAGATAAAGTTCTTCTTCAACAAACAATTCGTAAGTTACAATTCCAATTAAGAAAGACTAGAAATGCTAAGGTTGAAATTTTGAGAAAATTAAGAAAGGTTGCTGATTCATTAACTGGAGTAGAACGTGGAAGAATGATAAGAAGAAATAGATTAGAAGAATATGTTGATTATCATGGAAGTGATATTAGTAAAGAATATAGAAAAGTTAATAAACAAATTTATGAAATGGAAAAGAAATATGCTGTAGAATATGCTAAAGAAGCAGCTAAACTTGCAGCTAAAAATACATATTCTCAAATTCAAGAAGCAGAAGGTAAAGACAAACCAAGTGAAAAAGATATAAAACATCAAATTGCATCAGCAGCAAAAGAAATTTATGAACGAGTATATACAGAAATCATTCACATTATTAGAAGAAATACACTCCATGGTGGAAATATGAAAAGAATAGAAGAAAATACTATTGCTGAAATTAAAGTTTATATGGAAAGTATTAAAGCTGAATTTAATCATGAGAAAGGAAAACTTGAAGCAACTCAAACTGCTAATAAAAAAGTTAATTCTACTACTTCTAAGTCACATAAAAAATAATAATATGTCTTAATTATTATAAACCAGTTTTGAGTAATTTAGCAATTCAATTAATGGTTTTCTTTGTCTTGTGGTTTATTAATATATTCAAGAAAATCTTGATATAACTGAGGAAGATATAACTTTTCTTCTATTTGTTCTTGACTTAATTTCATTGATGAAACTGTTGGAAATTCTTTTAAGAAATCAACAATAAATGAAAATTCATCTTTGGTTACTGATAATCGTTTCTTTACTGTTTTGACAAAATTCCAAAACAATGAATTCACTGGAGAAGAACTCATTGAACTAGGTAAAATATCATTCAAAACATCATTAACCATATCAATAAGTTCAATTCTACCTTCTTGTGGAGTGCAAAATGATTTATTAAGTTCTTTCTCAGTAATTTTTTCAAGACAATTATTTTCTTTATTGAGTTCATAAATCATTGCTTTTAATTGTGAATGAATAAACATTAAAAACCGATGATATTCTTTTGGAATTGTCTCTTCATAAAATTCTTTGACATCATCTGCATATTTTCCTGTAAAAGGTATTTTTTTGATGATTGCTTCAATATTATCCTCTTTAAAAATAGCAAATGACTTGGTATTTCCTGCATATGAAAGGACATAATTTATATACCCATCTTCAGACATCCCTAATTCTTTTAAGAAAGAAGAAAGACCGTCATCTCTTAAAACCCCATTAATTTGATATTTATTGAATGTGTCTTTAATTATTTGAGGTGACTGTGTACCTTTTTTTTGTTTTGTCTCTTCTTTAGGTTGTTCCATTTTGGTTAAATCAAGAGGAGAATCAAAGAAGGCATTAATTGCATCACTTATATCAGGATGTTGTTGTAAATAAAATTTGGCAACTTTTTCACTGTAGTTAATTAATATCTTTAACTTGATTTATGTCTGAACCAACAAACGACGCTCCAGTAGTTTTAGTAAAAATTTTTATACTTTCAGTGTTAATTCTTGATACTAAACGTCTTACCATATATCAATTCTTTTTAAGTTTTTCTTCAAATTGAGGTTTACTTAATAAAATGTTTTATATAACGTTATTTATTTAGAAATTCAAAAGAAAGAACATAATCATTAACTATGGTAATATTCATCACTTTTACTCGTTGACCTCTTTTTGTTCACTTAATAAAAATGTCTAATAGAGATTATTGTATGTTTTATTCTAATTTTTATAAATTCTGTTATAAGAAGAAATTCTGAAAATATATGATAATTTTAATCTTGTTCTTAACATTATACTTCATTTATTTTCTTTTAGATATAAAATAAAATATTAAAATAAATAATTGTAAA